TCCAGAGGCTGCATCTCCTCCAGGTTGCAATCTGCCTTGTATTGCCGCCTTGCATTGCAGCAGCATCCATCAGAAAATTTACCACTGATGCATTTTATAGCAGGATTCATAATAAGATATTAAGGACTATGGGTGTGGCTACAGAGTGAGGTGTAAATGTTTTAAAAAGACCCTTTTCTGATAACCTTTCCTTCAGCATTAGCTGCCCTTTTGCAGAGAATATTGCATCAGGCGTTGGTGTCCCGGCTCTCAACATGCCAGGGTTAACACAGGACACGTCTGCATCTGGTTGCTCGTGCTGGAGGGTTGCACAGGAGGTGACAGCCCAGGCCAGGGGAGGTGATTACTGTGGTGGGCTATGCTTGGTCCTTACCCAGGAGAGCTTTCGGGTGGAAACACTTCTTTCTGGTCACTTGAGCCACACACATTACCCCATCATACTGCTGTGTTGGTGTGAGAGAGGTAAAGTCTTGATCTCTCCTTTGTCTCCGCCTCATGCAGCAATGTCCTTTTGTGCTTGGACAGGGATTTTACAGTCATTCATTCCTTACTTTAATCAAAGGCTATCCTTGTTATTGTTGATACATTGAAATGGAGCAGTCTCCTACCTCACTGCTTTTCGTTTGGTGGTCTTGGTGCTTTGGGTAGCCATGTGTAACACGCCGTTACCAATCGGTATTTCTTTCCAGCAAACAGGACCCCCAGAGCTTCTTCCTCTAAGATTTTTATACCACTTTGATCCTCTCTTATTCGTTTATTGCAAAATGAGGGATGGCCTTGCTACCTTGCACCCCGGCATCCCCAGCCCAGAGGTGTTGCATCTGGCTCACTGGAGCCCTTTAACTCCTCGGGCTGCTTGGGGGGGGGACCTGGGTGCTGGACGCCCTCTTGCTGAGCTGTCGAATGAAGGATGGGATGCTGGAGACAGGTCAGGAGCAGGTCCCGCTCCCATTTGCCCACCTCCTCCTCGGCAGGAGGCATCTGTCTACGTGTTTATTTTTATCTCACATCTGCTGGTATCGTAACAAAGATTTAATGATACCACGCAGTTTTGTCACCAGTTCTTTTTTCTGTAGTGAGTGAAGCTTCATCGCTGGCTGCTGGAGAGAGCCGAAAGCTTTAAAAATGACAAAATTTGGCGACTCGTGTAGAAAACTCACCTGTTTGCCTCAAGCACCTGTAGGCTCGTCGGCTGTCGGCATTTTTTTTTTTTTTTTTTTTTTTCTGGACAGAAAAGATAGAATTTGCTATTTTTGCCTGTCAGTGAGTTAAACATAACCACAATTAATCTTTGCTCAGGAAGAACAGCCACGAGGGACATGCAGAAGGAGTCCTGTAAATGGGCCAAATGCTGAAAATGTAGAAACACGGTCCGTCTTGAGCTGGCCTGGTGCAGGACTTACCAATCGCATCTCCCTGGGATGTGCCCTCTGCCTGTTATTTACCATCAAACACAAGCCCCAGCCAATTCTGTTTATACAGATGTTTTGCTCCATTGTTTAGATGATGGGCCGCATCTTTTGAGAAATAAAGACGTCAGCCTCCCGCTGAGGAATATCTTGAGCCTGTTTGACCCAAAAATGGCAAGAGGATTTTAAAGACATACTTGTGTTTTTTAAGGCAGACGGTCTGAAATTCCTCTGAGTCCTGACTGTGTCTTGCCTGGGCATGAACGTTAAAAATGAGGCCTCTTTTCCTGGAGGACTGTTGATCTGGGATGTCCACATCCCACAGCTGGTTTTGCTTTGCCAGAGGCTTGGGGTGGGTTTTTTGTTTGAATTTGAGCTGGGGATAAAAACATGCATTGCCAAGAGCACTGGGTAGGTCTGTATCCTTTGACTTGTGTGCTGTTGGAAGTAAAGGCATGAATTTGGTAGTGAAATTTCCCCTCTGACCTGGGTGCTTTGGGCAGTATTGGAGATTTCTTCCACTGCTGCCATGCTGTTCTGCTTCAAGCTCCTTTAATGCTCCTCCTATTGCCTGGGAACCCTTCTGCTCCCCTCCTAAATTCACCCGTGCCGTGCTTTGCTCGTGCACCCACCATCACACTTGCAGGTACCCGCTGCCCCTCTCTGAGGTCCTGCCCTGGGGTCCCCTCTCAGCCCCTTGGATGCTTTGGTGTAGGTGCCCGTGACCTTTTCCCAGGGCCAGCCAGATCTTTGTCCAGAGCCGATATCCTGCTTGTGTGGCTTTTGCTATCCTGGCCGATAAAGGGACTTGGTCAGCAAAGCTGTAAAATAAGGATAAAAATATGGTAATCGCCAAGTCAGAGCTCAGGCGGTATCTGCAGGGGCTGGAGCTGACAGTGTCAAAGCTGGTGACCTCCGTGTCCCTCCAGGCAGCTTCTCCTTTGGAAGGACAAGGAGATGAACTCTCTTCAAAGCCTGCTTTTGGGCTATTGTATGAAATACAATGCCAGGGAAATCAAGCTCTCCTCTGTCACAGCCGGCCTCCACACAGCCCCATAATCACGGGTGACCAGGGCGGATTTGCATGTTAAAAAGAGTGGCTAGGGGCACTTAAAAAGAAGCGGAAACATATTCATCAAGTCCAGATTTATCCTTATGAATATTACTGTTCCTGGGGACAATATACCCCAGACCTCATCGGTGCAACCCTGCATCTACTCTTTCGCTGCCTTTCCTCTCCTCCCCCTAATAATGGTTAATTTGTAATGCTCTTTGTCCTGATATTGATATCCTGGTGGCTCTGGGGGAGGAATTTGAGAAGGCAGTTGTTGGAGCATGTGGACCGCGGCGGACGAAGCCATGCCCTGGCAGGAGCAAGGGGAGGGCTGTGGGATGCTCTGGGGCTGCTCCCAGCTGCTGACGGCTTGGGGGAGGCAGGGAGCCCAAAGAGGGGCCAGGAGATGCTCTAGTCTCTGTCTGAGAAGGTGTCTTGGGAGTGCTTGGAACGCAAACACCCACCACAGCTCCCCTTGGAGGGCTTCTCCACCCCAACGTGCCTCCCGGGCTGACAGAGTCCTGGTTCCTGAGCAGTCTAAATGCACAAGCCAGGATTAACGTGCTGTGTGCATGGCACGAAGTCGAGGGCTTACGAGGCATCAGCGCAGATTTGGGTTAAGCGTGCCAGAAAACAAGCAGTTGTAAGGCAAAGGGTAGCAAACTGCTGGGTCAAATAGGCTGGGGAGGATGTGGTATCTCTATCACGAGAAGGCTTTAAGGATGGGAATGATTTAGGTGTAGCAAGGGGACAGGTTTCTCTTTTGAGGTCCCTTCTAGCTATATCTTTTATGCTTTTATGATTGCTGATCACAAAGAAACTTGAAGGCGCTTTAAAAAAATATTCCTCAGGCCATGCCCTGCGAGGCTTTCTTTAGCAGCTTGATTTAGAGGCGGGGAAAAAAAAAGAAAGCAAATGAAAAATCTAGGTGGGAATTGCAACCTCTCATGCCTCGGCAGAAGTGGCACTGAAGTAAGGAGAGTGGAGTTCTGCTGGAGCCCGAGGCAAGCTTAGATGTCAGAGCAACCCCTGCAATGCCTTATGGCTGGATGCAGGGGCAGGGAGGCATGAGGGACACATGTGGGTGAATGTCCAGAGCTCGGGCTTCCGAATGTGAGTTATGGGATGTGCCCTGGCTTCCCCGCTCTGCCAGAGCAAGCTCGCAGCAAATTGTGCCACTCGCCTTGAAGGCAAGTCCCCCTGGCCTGAGCCTCGCTGGGGGAAATTCAGATGTTCTGGTTCTTTTCTGGTGCCAGCACCCGATATTAAATGGGGTAAATCAGATCTCCAAGCACGGAGCCCTGGTTTCTTATGCTTTTTAGTGGAGGTGGTGGGCTGGGTGAAGCCCTGACTGTGGTTCACTGCAAGCTTTGAGGTTCCCAAAAAACCTGGAAATGGCTCAGTGTGTTGCTCAGCTTTGGCCAAGGATTTGCAGGAGGAGCTCCATCCACTTGGAAGCAGTGCCCCATCTTCTAAGCTCTGCCTCTCCTCAAGTCTCCTTTCCACCTTCTCAGCACTTCATGATGCTTTTCTATGAGCTGAGGACGAATAATTTAATACGAATGAAGTTAACAATAAAACGCAGAGGTTTGGGAAGAGGTTTGCAGAAATAATCCGTCTTATCCCAACTGGCCATAACCAGACGCTGTCACATCTCACTTCTGACCTTTGCTGTCTCCCTTTCAAGTCTGAGCTCTTTGCCAGCCCTTAACGTGGCTGTGAACGTGTTACAAACATACAAACTTGCCTCAGCGGCCGCGATCTGTGCATACCTGCAGTCTGGGTCCCCAGCAAAGCCTTTTTGCTCGCAGTCTGTGCTTCTGCCTTTAGAGAGACAAGAATATGCATTTAAGATTTGCATAGGAACATGCAGCTGTTCCACCAAAAATGGATAATTGTTCTCCCTGCTGTGAAGTTAAACAATAAGAAGTGCCAAACTGCATTTGCCATTGCTGATTTTGTGCACTCAGCTGCATGTTTTATGCATGTAGATTAGTTCCAGATTTATGATGATTTAACTGTTAATGCCTGCTTTAATCGGGCCAGGTTATAGTTGCTGTGGAAACTATAACTTTGAATTTTACGTAAAGTTCTGTGTTGCATTTAATGCCTGTGTTTTTTTCGAGGCTCTCTTATATTTAATGCCTTATGGTGAAAACAAGAGGGAATCAGCGCTGGAAATAAAAGTGCCTTTGGGCAGAAAACAACTTTCAGTAAAGAGAGTAATTTTTCTGGAAAGTTGTGATGTCTGGGAAAATAAGGGTTTGTGATAGAGTGCCATCTTGACCACAGCTGTATAACTATTATTATAAGTGTGTAACAACTATTATAGCTGCTGCAATACTGTAATAAAGAAAACAGCTGTATAACTTATAAATGTCTTGAAAATATAGGACTGAAGTTCTTGGGATTCTAGATATTCCTTCTGGTGGGCAAAAGAAATTGCTGATGTGCATTTGATGGGAAAATAGGCTGATGCACATTTTTACTGAGATACTGTTTTTTGTTTTGTTTTGTTTTGTTTTTTTTATTTCCAGAACACACCAGTGGGCACACCGATTTTCATAGTGAATGCCACGGATCCGGACCTGGGGGCAGGAGGCAGCGTGCTTTACTCCTTCCAGCCTCCTTCCGATTTCTTTGCCATCGACAGTGGCCGTGGCATCGTGACGGTAATACAGGAGCTGGACTATGAAGTGACTCAGGCGTACCAGCTCCAGGTCAACGCGACGGTGAGTCTTGTCCTGGCCTGCTGCAGGGGAGGAGGTGTTTTCTGGAGGGACTGCAATGGGGAAGGAGCTGCTGCTTGCTTATTTTATTGCCCTGATCTGGCATCTTCCCGGACGCATCCGGCATTTTCCACTTAGAAAAGTATTATAGTGATGTGGTTCAAATTGTGAAGCACAGCTGCACCTCTCCAACCGCATCGCACACATGCCAGGGGCTTCTGCATAAAGGCCCTTGGTGAAGAAAGCCAGTACAGGGCATACAGACCATTAAATCCTCCAGTCTCGTTCCTTGTACGTCATGGCTTAGGACAAGTGGATTCACCTGTATTAAGTCCCTTGAGCCTCACTCAGCAAAATCTGAGTTCAGACATCAAGTGTGAAAATTTTGGTGGACAGAGGAGAAACCAAGGTCCTAATTATAGTCAAATACCACTGTACTGGGAGGGGGCCTCTGGGAGATGTACATCCAGGTGGCCACCATGGGAAATTTATGCCCCACCTGGATGGGAAACTTCTTTCCTGGTGTCAAGTCCTAGTGAGAGCTCAAAAGGGAGCATGTGAATGAGGAGCACCACCCAAGCGGGTGCTCTGAATGATGGCTCTTCTCCCATCTCAGACATAACAGAGGAAGGTGAGACTCAGCCCTACAACACGTTTGACCAATTCTGCATTCAGGAGAGTGAGGGGGAAACCATTCCCAACCCCTCCGGGCAGCTGACTAGAACTCTTGAAGCATGTGATTTAATCAAGACCGTTGCCTTGATGCAGAACCACAAATGTCAGGAGGACGTGGAGGGCTGCACAGGGCTGTCTTGCTTTCCCCGGCCGCGGTGGCTGGGCATTCGCAGGCTACAGGGCCACAGGCAAACAGCTCAACCTTTCAGCCCCATCCCCCTGTGTTCAAGGCTGCGGAATTTTCCCTAGAAGTTTATTTCTTCTGAAACATACCTCACCTTATTTTAAATACGCCAGTGATAAGAGGCCTTCTCTGTTATCGGTCTCTGTCACCAACATGCTTTCGCAGGGCATGTTATCGAACTGCCTAGTGGCTTACAAAACATGGGACCAAAACCACAAGCCCTGATGGAAACATGCCTGCCTTTCCCATGTCTGAACCTCCTTTCCCCAAGGACACAAGGATGCCACCTTGGTCCATCCAGCTCCCTCTAGCCCCATATCCCAGGCGCAGTTACCAGCGAAGATAAAATGGGGGCATAACTGGTACTTGCTACATAATACACTCCTGGCTTCTAGTGATTTTCAGTTCAGGGTGTTCAAAGACTTAAATATTAACTCTCTGAACCAGCCTTGATTGCAGCTGTGGGAATATCTCCTCAGCTCGGTTGCAGGACGCTGGTAATTTTTAGCAGAAAGTCAATGAGAAACCCCGGGGCAAAGCTCAGCCCGAGAAAGAGGATGAGAGTTGCACCAGTGTAGCAGGATCTGGAAGGGCAGATGCAGTCTCTCGCCTGCCTGATGAAGAGTTTGCGTGGTCTGGAATGGGAACTGGGGTGATGATGAATTCAGGGTGGCCACAGGGGGGCTGCAAGAAGAGCCTTGGAGCCTCTGTTCAAGGCAGGAGCCATTTGATCCCAGGGATGTAGGCAGCAAGGGTGTAAAGAGACTGGAAAGGGCAACATGAGAGATGGTAGGTGAGGAAACATGAAATGTGCTTGCTTTTTCAGTGCTATCTGTAATACTTTAACCAAAATTTAAGAGGTGAAGAGGAGGGATAAAAAACATTATCTGAAGAAACGAAAGACTTCAACCTAATAATGCTAACAGCAGAGAGTGCAAGTCAGAAATAAGCATCCATCCAGGCCATAAACGCTGAGGCCTGCAGGTTAAGAGGATAATGTACAAGCTGTGTTGTTGAATACGGTTTAAATTAACATTAATCTTCTGGCAATCAGTCCTTGCCACTGTTCAGAGCCATTTTGCAGAAGTGTGCGGTAACCTCTAATGGTCGCCTTTCACCACGGTGGTTGATTAGGGGGTAAGGAGAGATTGATTTCCTTCCCTTTGTGTGTTATCTGCTTTGCTCCTGCCCTTCCAGCAAAGGGCTGTGGGCACTGGGGGTCACTTTTGAGCACCCACGGGACGTGGCTTCAGCAAGAGGAACGGTGGCAGCGGGCCACTGCCAGGACAAGCTGGTGGCAGCGCACACCGCTGTTGGGTTGGCTGCTGGAGAAGGGTCTTGCTCTGGGAAAGCTCTTGCTTCTCCATCCTGATGGGGTGTGAGGGAGGTGATGCTCCTGCTCAGAGCATTGAAATGTTCAAGGGCAGCTGCTGCTCACTGTAAGATGGCTCCGTGCTCGTGACCTGCTCCACAGGGCAGGGAGGATGGCTCCCCACCTCCCTGCAGCTGTGGCAGCAGCTTGGCTCACACCGAAAGGCAGCTCCTGGTTACCCCGATCCTGCCAGTTCCACATGCAAGTTGGGAGGGAGAGCTTTGCAGTTTATCGGAGCCAAAACCATTAGCCTGGTAGAAAGGAGGTTGCTACTGCAAAGACGTATCGCGCAGCTCAGGTTTTCAGTCTGCCTTCTGTGTTAGAGCTGAGGCATCCTACGAAACCCCCTGCCAAAGATCAGAGCAGCGAATACAGAAAAGAATTAAAGCTGCAACTGCAACGCAGCCCACAAAAAAAAAAAGTGAGGGAGCTGGTGGGCTTTGTCGTGTTCCAGCCGACGGAGCCCAAGCTGTGCAGAAGCATCGATGCTGGGGGGTATGAGATGCTCTGCTGTGATGTGCCGGTATAAAAGTCTGCTGGCAACCGCACCTGGGTCTCATGGTGCTGAGGTGCCCTAGGGGTGTATCTGCATATAGGAAGGAATTTCTATTTTGAAGTATCTGTTGAATTGTGTTGCTTCTTTTCCACCCAAAATGTGATGAAAGCTAAATCGGTGCTTGCCCTATTTTAAAGGACTAATGCTAGAATGAAATGTGTATTGTATTTCAGCTTAGAGGGTGGTATAGTGGACGATAATTCCAGCAGGTATCTTGAAAAAGAGATGATTACCTGGACTATTTGGAAATTTTGACCCAGCTATGACTGTGAGAGACTTGGTACTGTTGAATAATACTGTTTTTCTGATAGAAATCCTTTCTCTCACCCTCTCCCCCACCCAACCCTTGTTTTTTTTTTTTTTTTTTCAAGGACCAAGATAAACACAGGCCTCTGTCTACTCTGGCCAATCTGGCAATCATCATCACGGATGTGCAGGACATGGACCCCATCTTCATCAACCTGCCCTACAGCACGAACATCTACGAGAACTCGCCTCCGGTAAGGGCTGCTGCTTCACTCCGACGTGCATGGCCGTGGCGTTGCGCTGGGGGCCGAGGGAGGATGGAGCAGGGTATGGGACAGAAAGCACAAGATCTCCCAAAAGATCTGGAGGAAAACCTCCTCTTTGCAGAAATATTCATCCATCCTTCCTTCCATCCACTACAGGTTTGCATTGCTCTGCCCTGACATTCGCGGCTTGGGTACAAAGAGGAACCCTGTTTCCATGCTGGAGTGCAAATGCTCTGAATCCTGAGATCCAAATGGCACCCAAAGAGAGGCAAACCTTTTTATTTCTCAAACAACATGTTTCAAGCCAGGTCCGAAGTATTTTGCCTTTTTTTTAAAACAGGGAGCCTAAACAAGAAGGTTTAGGAAGCCTGAAACCCAAATAAAATGTTTTCCTAAAGATCTTTTCTTAAACTTTAAAAAGGCTTTCTGTTGTTCTTAGCACACAGTCACCGTATTCCTCCCCATGGCTTATACACATGCCACTTCTAATAGAAAAGTTGAAGAAAAATGTAAACGTTCCTGAAATGAGGCAGTTTTGAAAATGCCAGAATCATCAGCCATTTCAGCACTTCGAGCATTTTCCCCCAGGTTTTGCCAAATTGATCCAATCATTTTAGTTCTTCTGAAACTCGGTTTGTCAGCAAACTCGCTGTTTGTGGAAAACATCTCCCGGTCTCTAAATACAGCAGAGATTTTTTTTCTTTTTTTTTTTTTCCCCCCCACAGCAGACGACAGGGAGCATAGTGGGCAGCTTCAGCAATGGGAGCTGTTTGCTCTGCTCCCAGCAAGGGTGCCCAGGACCATCAGCCTAAGCACCAAGCCTCAGCAGCAGCATCCACCTTCCCAAAGCACAGCTGTGCACCCCCATTGCTTGGTCTATAGGGCAAATATCTTTGTAAATGGATGGAAAAACTTTCTGTCCTAAAATCATGGCGTGGTAAGCATCCATACTACACATGCAAACTGTAATGTCTCTGGTGGACCAGATCTGAAATGCCCGATGACTTAGTTCATGCAGTGGTAGAGGGAACTCCAGCTCACTTCAGTTTATGCCTTCTTTTTCCCTTTGGAGCAAAGTGCTGACTCTGATGGCATGGAGAATCCTGGATCAATAGGGCTGAGTTCTGCTGTCACAAATCCCACAGTCAGACAGCATATTACCTGTCTGCCAGCCCAAAGATGGCCAAAAAATGGCTTCATGAATTACTTTCCTGAAGTGAAAGTTTCAGTGTGTTTCAAACCTGTTGAGATTGAGTATTTCTGTGGTGGGCAGAATGAGCTGCAGGGAATTAAAAACACTACTAAGATCACCCTTAAACGGGGAGAAAAAGTCTTAGGTGAAAATATAGAAATGGAAGTCCCGCAAGTCAAAAATTATAAACTGCATCACCTTCATGGAGTGAGCTGGTATCCAGGAAAGGGAATCGCTCTCAAATTAGTGATATATATTAAGGCTGGATCTCAACAGTCTCTTTGTGTTGATGCACTGACAGGTACCACAGTTATTCCCAGAACATATACTGTTTGCACTAGGCAAAGCAGCAAATAATCTCTGTGTAACCTGCAATAGGAAATGAATGAAGGACTGCTCACCAGACTGTTAGCAGTTTTCTGGTGGGTTTAGGGATTTTAATTTCTCTTGGTCCCACATAACATCTTCAAAGACACTGTGACATCCAAGATGGATAGGTGTCACCAGAGACACAGTGAAGAAGACAACTGCTGAACACCTGTGGTAGTTTGAATGGTATTGCTTTCTGGTTTGGACCCAAAGTCCCATCCTTCCCAGCTGTCATGGTTTGAGCTTGGTTGGCAGCCAACCACAGTGCAGCCACTCTCTCTCCTTTTTCTTCCAGCAATAATAAGAGAGCCAGGCTTGGGGTTCAAGATAGGACTGGGATGAGGAAAAAATCCCCCTTAATGGGCACGAGCAAAAGGCAGACTCGTTAGGGGAAGAAAAAAAGAACATATATTTATTACAGACACTAACAACACATAACAGAGTAGGACAGTGAGAAGCATTGCCACATCTTGAGAACACCTTCCCCCCACCCCTCCCTTCTTCCCGGGCTCAGCTCTGCTCCCGATATCTCTACCTCCTCCCCACAGGGGCGCAGGGGCAGGGAATGGGGGGTGCAGGCAGTGCTGCCGCTTCTTCCATCTTCAGTGGGGGGAGCTTCTGGAACTTGTTCCCCCTGCTCCATCGTGGTCCCCCTCTCACAGGAGACAGTCCTCCACAAACTTTCTCCGACATGAGTCCCTCCCATGGGCCGCAGCGTTCCCCACACTGCTCCGTCATGGGTCACTAACTTTCTCCCACTGGATTCCCTCCCACGGCTGCAGCCCTTCCCGAGCTGCTCCGGCGTGGGACTCCCCCGCATGCTGCAATCCTCCCAGCACTGAATTACAGCAGCAGGGCTACCTTTTCCCATGAGACCCCGGCCTTCTTCGGGCACAGCACCTTGATAAACCAGGTGGAAGCCACAGGCCATAAATCAATGTCTGCTCCACCGTAGATCTCCATGGGTGGCAGGGGGGGCCGCCCTGCCGTCTCCCCACAGGATACAGGGGGGTCTCTGCTCCGGCACACCTCCCCCCTCCTTTCTTCCTCCATTCCTCCACTGACCTTGGTGTTCATGCAGCTGCAGCAACTCCTCCTCACAAGTCCCACTGCTCCTCACCACGTCCCTTCTTAAATACGTTCTCACAGAGGCGCAGCTGATTGGCTCAGTTTCCAAACAGACGTGGAGCTGGCTGGGAGCTGGGGGAGCTTCGAGAAGCTTCTCACAGGGGGCTGCCCCGATAGCCCCCTCCTCTGCCACCAAAAAAACTCCACCACTCACTCAACCCAGCACACCAGGAGAAATCTCCACTGCTGAAACAAGGACATGGTTTGCTATGGCAAGCCTGGGGTTTGACGTGTATTTTCGTCTCTCTTTGAGAAGTCACACGTGCAGAGTGGAAACTGCCATCCTGCAGAATGGCTTGGTTATCAAAAGGATAGCAGCAAATTCGGATGAGGAGTCTGGGCTTGGCTCATTCCTGTCCAAAAACTGGCTTCCAGGTCAAGCCAACAGGCTGCAGTGCTTTTTTTGTGGGTGATGTTTGCCCTGCTGTCAGGCTGAGCAGATCAAAATGTGCTCGTGACGTCTCATCCCAGCCCCACATCTATAGAATGGAGACTTGCTGCTGCTCCCCGTGCCCTCTCTCTGTCTCTCTTGACTCTCTTTTTATCTGTGGTGCACAGCATGTCTGTGTTCCTCTATCAGTGTATCAGGCGAGAATACCTCATCTAAAGTGTATACATTACCTAATAAAATCCTTCTTATTTGGGATTATTGCATCAAATTTTAATTTCCTCACTCGAGTAACAGCATGTCAGCCAGCCCGTCAGTGAAGAGCTGATAGAAGGTGAAAAGAGTGGATAAACTGCAGCAAATTACCGCAAACAGATCTCTATCAGCCCTTTGACTGGAATTGACTGGAATTAAGAAGTGAGAAATAGGATTTTTTTTGCCGTGGCAGCTTTCTGAAGCACTCCCCCCTCCTCCTCCTGCTGTAACGCTGGGCTGCGCTTTGCCTTTCAAGTCTCTAATCCTGTAAGAGAAGAAGAAAAAGGGGTGGAGGGGCATGAGAGGGGAGAGAAGTGCCATTGTAGCTCTTATTTTTCCCAGGATGGAATCTGGTATCATAATTGAGAAGCATTTTGGGCACATGCTTTTTTGGACATGGAGAAGAAAGAAATTTCTTATCAGGCAAAGGAAGAGGATGCAGTGGGGAGGGACTTTGCTGTCCCTGAAGGTGTTGTATCTTCTTTCCTGACACTGTTTATCATCCCAGTGTGCCTCAGACATCTCTCCCGGGGCACCCGAATGCACCAACGCTGTCTGCAGCTGTGACAAAGCCTGGCAGCGTTGTATTTTTTATCCTCAGAGTCTTTTTTGGGTGTCTGTCCTCACAGGGTCTGTAGACTGGATAGCACTGTTAATGTTCTCTGGACAAGCTAATGGGGGCTGGAGGAGAGGGGCCATTCCCCCTTGCTGAGATGCTGGTGGTCTGATGAGCCCTGACTTTTGGACCTCAGCTGGTGCACAGTCCAGGCAACATCACAGCTTCACTTTGGGGGTGAAAGAGGAGGAATCTACTCACTTAGAGATAAGCTGAGGCCTATGAAAGTGTGCTTCATCCTGCAGGGAGCCATGCAAAGGCAAGAACGGGGGGTAAACCCCACTGGCACTTGGTCTCAAGACCAACAGTTGTATTTCCTCACAATAGCATGGTAGAGGTATGCGTCAAATATCATTACAACAGTTTTAATTCTTCAGTACCATCCCCCTTCCTCCTCAAAAACTCCTTAGGTTGAAGAAATAATGTAGAATCAGTGCTATTTTTGCCCTGGAGTCTCAATAGCTTCAAGTTAATTCTTCCTTACAATATTTCCAGCCCATCAGTGTGAACACTTTATTAAAAGCTCAGGGTTTTATTAAAAAAGGATTCATTTACCCCTGCCCCTCTTCAAAAAACCCTCAGATTTTGTTTGGATAATGTGCCATTCTTTATTTTCTTTGCCTTTTTTTTTAAGCATAGGCTTTTCCAGATTATTACTTTTCTAAACCTTCTTCCTCCCTTCCCTAGAGGGAGAGAGTTATTCTGTTCTTGTTCTTTGGTCTATACCCACCAGCAGAGTCTTTTCCTTGCAGCCACCGTTGTCAGTGGTAGGTAGGCGAGTTGTTACTTGTTTTAAGAAATGTCAGGAATGTTTGAGATTTTCCAAGAGGCAGAGGTTCATTCCACAAATACCTGAGCTGAGCCCTGGACAGAGCTATTGCCGCTGGAAGTCAGCTAGAGGTTTCCACGAATAAGTGGAAGCCTTCACAGGTGTGTTTGGCTAGAGATGGTGGGAGAATCCCCTCCAATTCTGGGGTGCACTTGGCTGTCTCAGGGAGCCAGGGCACAGCATCTCCTGCCCTTAGCATGCCAAGACATAACGAAAGGAATAGTGTTGTGCTTCGGTAGGATTTTGGAGGAGAAATCGGAAACTGTTGAGAAGTGGTTGGTGAGAGGTCAATCTTTACAATCGTGGTGTGGTCGTGATCAAAGGTTTGTTTTGGTTTGGGTTGTTTTCCCATTTCTAGTCTCTCCTCTCTGACTAGTTATCTCTGCTGGTGAGGTGGGTAAGGCGCTTTACAGCCATCAAAGGTACTAAGAGATGAGTATAGCCTTTGTGTAGCATCATGTTTTGCATCACATCTTCTCACTCCAACACGTGCTAAATGGGAATACTCCTTTCTGTTGACCGTGCTGAGCGATCATGTTCTGAGGCTGTTTTCATCAGTTATTACCACTCACTACAAAACCAATAATTGCCACCAGCATCATGGACAAACATTGCACCTATCATGTGGCACTTCTTCAGCCTCTTCCCCAGAAGGGTCAAGATTGATCCTAAACCCTGTGTGGATGCTCAGGGAGGGATCATCTATCCCCAGGAGCAGGGATTTGCCAGTCTTGTGGATATTGGAAGACTCCTGTGAAGGAACTGGCAGGAAGGATGGTAACCAGGTGGGATACAAAGAGGTGCCCAGGTCCTTGCCCTTGCCCTGGTTCCAGGAGATGGCATCCATGAATGTTGGGGATCTCAGCTCCATTCTGGTATGTGTTTCTTGGACACTGAAGAAGTGTGTCTTGTCCCCAGGAGGGGCAGATCGAGAAGGAGGAGACACACAGGGCTGCAAGGAGATGCAGTCTCAAAAACCAGCAGTGTGGAAGCCATCATCATGGACTTGCCAAGGACCAGGGGAAACTTAGCATGCTCTCTAGCAGCCTTCGTTCTTGCGATCAGATGTCTGGATAATTTCTTTCTTATGGACGTGTCTATGGCACGTGCTGCTGAGATATCCAAGCGAGACTCCCCCTCTTCCCCTCCCAAAATTTCCCTGCTGCAACATCTGCGCTCATCCTTTTATCTCTCCCAACAGCCCTTCCCCTTGGCTCCTACAGGAGGGACCTTTCCCGCAGATAAAGCGGCCGCAGCGTCTGCTGGCCGATTGCTATTCCTCGGCCATCGTGGGAGCCCTGCCTTCTCCTGCAGCTGCCTTCCCTTTGAAATGTGCCACACGGCAGGCGACACTTATCATTCTGCACCGCTCCCCCTCGCTATTTGACAGGCGATGAGCGAGCTGTCAGATGGACCAAGTGCCTTCACCCACCATGCCTGCTATGGAGGAGCTCTTGTTTTTCCAGGGAGAAGAAGAGGGCTCACGTCAGCCCTGTGGGGACAGCCAAATAAAGCAGAGTATGCTGGGGGGAGAGCATGCTGGATTGCATGCCTCTCCTTTTTTTTTTTTTTTTTTTTCCTCCCTTTTACCTCACCCTTCTTTCCACATTCCTTGTTCTGCTTTCCCACCTGCTCCTTTCCCACTTGTGCTTTTTATCTATCTTTGCTCCTTTGGAAAGCATAGTTATTGTCGGTGATTTAGAGGCTCTCCAGTGGCTGCTGAGCCTCACCAGCCGAGTGCTGCTCAAAGGCCAGTGACCTGGGATTTATGGCTAATGTTCTCGGTTAATAACATGGATTTACTTAAGGAGTCCATTGAAATGCCCTCAGAGATCAGGGGAATGGGCAGTCTGCCTGGCCCTAGGAGCTTTCTTTACGGCCGGCAGCGGCAAAGCATCTCCATCGAGCCCACAGGGGCATGGCTCTGAAAGCTGGGGAAGATGGCAAGTCCCTGCTTTCCATCGGTGATGTTTCTGCAGCAGCTTTCCCTTTGGCCTTCAACTGATGGATTGCAGGGCAAACACAACGCTGTCATCCCACTGTGCTCCCTCGTTAGATATGCAAACGCCTCTGTTGACATTTCCTTTGAGGGCAAAAAAAAAAAAAAAAAAAAAAATTGCTTCTTTTCCCACTCTTAATAAACCAATGAAAACAAGAACAGCTGAGTTGTAAATTTTTTCACACTACATTAATTATGTGCATGTGCATGTGTTTGTATTCACATGGGCTCACTGCAGTGCGGCGGGAGAAGTACAGCTTATGGAGCAGACATAAGCGCACGATGTTTTTATGTAAAGAACTAAACAAGAATTTTGGTTCGCTTTTATGTTCTTCATTGTTTTGGGGGGACTCTTGGCCTCGTGGACCTTTCTGCTGGGCTATAGGAAACAGGTCTGCCCTGCGTGATGGCAGTTGCAGAAGCTCCTGCCTGTGGGCAACCCCCTGTTCCCAACATCTGTCCAACTCTTCTCCTGCTTCAAGGTTTCAATTAAAATCTCTGCAGCTCACTTAGTTATGCAGCTGGATGCCGATGGCCAGCGTGAGCATCCCTCATTGCCTGGGCTGCCTCGTTCAAAGAATGCAGGGCAGGAAAAGGACCAGTTGAAACTGGGAAGCCAGTGGTAGATAAAACTGGTGTAGTGACCAGTGCTGAAGGTCGTGGTGAGAGGGAATTGTTGCCTTTGGTTCTCAAGGGACTGCAGAGTGAAAATCTCGGTGGCAGAGGAGCGTATGCTTTTACCCGTCAGCCAGAGCCTGTGTTGCTGCAGGGAGGCACATCCTGGCTTTGCCTTCAGTTCTTCCTCCCTCTTCTTCCTCGAGCACCGATAGCTGTGTTCACCACACTGACCTTGCCCCAAGCCCTGCTCCTCTGAGCAGGGGATGAGCAGCACGGAGGATGAGGCTGGTGGTGCTCTCTCCAGTCCCTAAGGACACTTGCCCCAGTACAAACCTACCGCGTAGTCAAGCTCAGCCTGCTCGGTGGTTGAGTTAGAGGACATGTTCTCCTGGACATGCCCTCAGCATCACCAACTACATCCTGCGGTGGGTTAGCAGAGTTCTGCAGCTTGCACAAAAGCGTTGAGTGGTGAGCCTGAACTACTCCAAGAAGCAGGTGACGGGACATTTCTGTGACACGCCTTATCCTTGGGCAGGTTTTCCGAAGGATGGGGCCCGCGGTAAGAGGTGCAAGGCCTTGGCAGGGCGCCCTGGGAGCCCCCACAGCACCTGGCCAGGATGGCTGTAACCCGTGTCTCCTCTTCCTCCCCAGGGTACCACCGTGCGGATGATAACGGCAATCGACCAGGACAAGGGCCGTCCCCGCGGCATCGGCTACACCATCGTCTCGGGTAGGTCACAGGGGGATGTGGTGGGGATCCCAGTGGGGAGGGAGGAGCTGGCCCCACAATAAGTTTTTGTACATCTCATGCCTCGGAAATCATATTTGGCTAAGTTTCTCATCGGCTGTGCTGCTTGCTCTTTTGGTTCAGCCTCACTAATTACTGTAACCGACCGCTACGACTGAAAGCTTTTACCTCTCTGAAAAGCTTTCTTTGCCTTCGGCGCAGTCGGAGTGCATCGTTCGTGGCATCTCTCTTTCCTCAAGCAGCGGGCTTTATTTCTAACAAATCTGACAATATCTCGTAGCAAAACCTTTCAGTCTTAATGACAAGTCACTAACAATTCTGCTTCACGCTACGCCACGGAGGAGACCTGTAAAGAGGCAGGCGTAAAACTCTTGCTGGCAGCGTGGTGGTTATTGTTTAGGGAGAGAATGGGACTGATTAGGGGCTGAACAGCTCCCGGCGTTTCCCGAAAGCCTCCGTGCCGAGGGCTGGCTTCCCAAAGCATTGCTGGAGCTTTGTAAGTTGGGAGGCAGGTGCCTGGATGCTGCTTTGGTGGGGTGTGCCCCAGGGACAGACAGACTGTGTGGGTTAACCCAGGAGTGAGGGACCAGCTTGGGGGGTCTGGGTTGTAACCCTATTTCTGGCATTGCTTTTGGGAGGTGGGGGGATCATCACTAGCAAGAAATGGCAGCAGTCCCTTCTCTCCCTGCTGTGCCACACACTTCAGGTGCTGGCTGGCAGCTCCTTCGAGCTACGCATGCAGAAATAATTTCCCAGTTTCTCTTCCTCAAAGCCCAGCTGTTTCAAATGCTCTTTTAATCAACCTCTAGGGTCAAGGTAATTTCACCCTAACTTTCAAGTCCACTGATCCTGACTGCAAGTATCCAGGTCAGTCTGCCTTTGAAGATGCAAGGATTATTTATTTCTCTAATTCCCTCTGCAATTTATTCTAATGTTCCCCCGGCATGAATTAAATGAGAGATTCCCCCAGATTGTATGTATCAACTGGCCAAAGTGCAGCAGGGACTTCCTTTTTCCTGATATGGGCCCTTTTCCACTGGAGACTGGGCTGAAACCTCAAACTAGTTTTGTAGAGGTTGCTGAACTACCGTGAGGATGGTGAAAGCCTTCAGCTTACAGATTCCTCACCCGGCACAAAGCGTGAGGGTGGTCAGCAGCTGGGAAATCACCCTCATTCTGTTCGTGCACCCTCTTTTGGGCATCTGCTGTATGGCTATGGACCCTTTTTCTGACTCAGTATGGGTTATGCTGTAGGTATCTAATCTTCACTTGTCAGCACCAGTGCAATACAAACAGCTCTGGGTTTCCAAAAGCCTTTATTTGATGGCTTAATCCTACAGAAACCACGGTGCACTCTATAGAGGGTTAATTTGCTAATTGCACCCATCTCCTCATGGTCATGTCAGGCTCGCTGCTCATCAGATGGTCACGGCTGCTCTGCTGAATCAAGGAAACAAAATCTTGGGCCCTGGATTTTTACCTGGAGTGTTCACGCCTGCTCTTATTTTCATGTCTACCTTGGGTTTTCCTGTGAAATACCCCGCTCGGTGCCAGGGTAGCCATCAGCCTGGCCGGGTAGAGGGATGGTGGAAGGGAGCCAGGCGTGCTCCGGGAACCTGGTTGGCAGTGGGGTGCGGAGTGACGGGCAGGCAGATCAGCGCAAACAGCCTCGCATCTGCTTGCATATGACAAGAGCTTAATTCCTGCCCGCGGTCCCGCCTGGTGGGGGGCAGCTCTCATATCAGAGAATCAGGCAGAACACGTCAAAGAGTGATTAAACTGCTTTGCAATTTTTTTTTTTTTTTTTTTTTTTTTTCCCCCCAAACGTGAGAATTGAGGAGTGTTTTCATAACTGGCCAGGAGACCTTCTCCTGTCAACACCAGCATCTTGCAGAGCGGCGGTGCTGGGAAGGATCAGCCTGTGGATGGGCTGAGGGACAACTACTGCTATTGCCTCCTCCCCATCCTAGCCCTGCCTTCGACTTAAGGCAGAGGTTTCCAAAATCCCTGAAGCCCGGCTTCAGGACACTCTGCTTCCACTCTGAATTGAGTTTGTTGCCAGAGCCAGAGTTTGCCAGCTCCATTCAGCTGTTGGACTGTGGCTGAAGTGTGTGGCTGAAGGCAAATTTTAAAGAAAACATGGTCGTGGGTCAAACAGTTTTTTTTCTGAAGTCTGTAAGGGTGCACGTGCCTCCCCGGCTCTGCTCAAGGCATTCTCTTATGCTTTCCATGATTTGCTTCTTGCTTTTGAAAGGTGTTACCTTCTGATGTCTGAGATCCCAGGTACAGGAACCGGCAGTTAGTGCGCCTCCAAAATCCTGCTCACCCAAGGCAAGCGATTTTTTTTTGGCAGGCAGGTAAAGCCTAATTAATTTGTCGTTATCCTCAATCACGATGGTAAAGGTCAGTGAGCAGATTTTGTGCCTGAGCCGGTAAATTTTTATGGCGATTTTGCAAAAAAATGGTCTAACATATGGGAATGGGGAAGCAAATTAAATTAGAAACCAACCGTAAGCAAAAGTGAAAATGGCTGGTGAAGGTAGTAATTATACCTGGCTCTTCAGCTCGCTTGCACGAGGGGAGGTGGCGGTGATGCTGTTCCCATTTCATCGCAGGGATGGCCGATGCCAGGTCTTCGGGCACAGGGATCGCACATGGCTGGCCTGATTTTACCAGCTGGCGTTGAATATACAGCAGCGAGAGAGCTCAAAAAGTGACCTAGCCGTTTATCATTCCTTCAGTATTAATATCTAAAGCATTGGTATGATTTGGAGGCGGGGTATAAAAATTAATTTGCAATTGCCGGTGTCCTATCCAGCTCCATCCCTCAGGTAGCTGTGCCTCGGGATATACTGCAGCAGCTCTTATTTATACGGCTATCTCCAGCACAAGGTCCTCCCGTGACAGGAAAACAATAAAACTAAAAGATTAACCATAACCACATAAAATAAGACTTAAGATCTAACTTTATGCCGCCAGCTTACAAAGCTGTTAAGCCTGAAATGATGGAGGAGCGCTGATCTGGCTGTGTCGTGGCTTTGGCTAGCTGTCCTGTCGGGGCAGACGAGCCTGCCTGCTGCCTGTCTGCACTGGGAATCATTTCTGTATCTTATAGGGAAAAGCCATTCAGTCGTTTCTCCCCCTTCCTTCCAATCTGAGTGTTTTAAACCCATGAAAACATGCACTTTTTCACCTCGCCCTGCAAACGACCATCTGAAGAAGAAATCCAACCTGAGACCTTGCAATTCAGGCTGGTCGGTGCTGGGGCTCCCATCACTCCTACGGGTGTTTCTGCTGCTTTTCCCAGGTGAAAAGGAAGGTACGGGCAGCCCGTGGCTGGTGCCCTGCAAAAGCCCTCCCTCCCCAGTTCCCCGGCTGCTTTGACAGGTTGGAGATGCTCAGCCACTGAGGTCAGGACTCTGTTTGAAGGACAGATAATTAATCCAGCAAAGTAATCCACAGTTCCTTTTTGGCAGATTTATGGAGATAGCCTCTGTACTGGGGACTCTGCCTCATCATCTTTCATTTCCCAGGCAAAGCGAGTGACTTGTTGTATAACACGACCTGTTCTAGATAAGGCTTTTCATTTAGGGGAACTCTCTGGTCTAACAGAGATTGATTTTCCCAGTGGAAATCAGAGGGCCCCGGCAGTCTCGGCAGGATCAGGCCTGCAGACGGCAGTGTCTTTTCACATTTGCTGCTGCTGCACATCGCCTGGGGCATGGAGAATCCTTTGGCTCTTTAAGAGAAGGATTTTGGTCGTGAATTAAATGGCAATTTAATTTATAGGCAGGAGGGGACTTTGACCCGCGAGCTCTTGTTAGGAAAACATATTGTATGACCGCAGTCTCGTGCTTCGCTTGCTAGGGGTGAACTTTTGGTTTCATTTATTTCCAGGACAGTCAGGAGACTTCATGTCTCCTGGCATGAAGATGTGAAGGTGACCTGTGCTGCTTGGGCAGGCATCGAAGGGTTAAACCAGGGGCTCTGCAAGATGCCCAAATGTCAGTCCCTGCTTGCCTGGCACATTTCAGGTGCGGTGATGGATGGACAAGGGGAGATTGTGCAAGAACAATCCGTACGTCCTTCCCGGGGCTTGGAAAGTCCTGCAGGAGAGAGGGGAGGAAGCACGGAGCTTTCAGTCAGTGAGCTGGTCCTTAGGGTTCTTCACAAACCCTTAGGGATTTCCCCCCTTCCCATCCCCCCCAAATTGATTGTTTTAGGAGACTAATGCAGTATCTGGCAAAGTGGTCTCTTCCTAAAGCTGGTGCATCCCAAGAGAAACACGAATGAAAAATCATTATTTGCACAATGTAATACAAATGTGAGTTACAAATGCAAGAGGGAGGCATGTCTGAAAAGGATTGTTCTCCATCTTTCTTCTGGCTTTCCTGCTAAGGAATAAAATATCATATATATATATATATATGTAAAAATCAGTGCAGTAGCTCTCAGAACACATTTCACATGGTCTTAACAGATCTGGAGTCCCTACTGCATTGTTTTTTTGAAAGTGGAGCATGAACCCTTGAGGTAAGGTTAAGTGGCCAAAGAGGTCTCCCAGCCCTCAGCTGCCAACACCTCCCTTTGTATTTTGACCTGACTTAATAAAGAAGGCAGGACAAAGAAAACCACTTCGCTGAGTCACTTAAACTAGACATCAGGGAGGATGTTGGAAATACGACCTGCTAATTTTAATATTCCCTTTGCCTGCTGGCCTACATCGTGCCAGCTTTTTCCCACATTGGGATTGCTCGGTGAACTACTAGGGTGTTAAAGTCCTCATAAATTACACCTGCTGGGAGGGCCTTCCAGTGTGATTTAAAGGCAGTCATCATAGCAGAACATTTCTGTAGGAGGACACGCTGATGGGTGGAAAAGTGCCTCACGCCGAGTTATTCATCAAAGGCTGTTTTCCCACCCTGCCAATGCAAGGGGATGAGACAGCACAAAGGAGAGATGGTGGCTGCGGCCACAGCCCT